CCCTATGCCTGACTACAATGGTGCCGTATGAGATCCCTTGGCATATGAGATCCTTCAGCGTGACAAACGTGAAAAAATACAGAACAGAGCTGCAAGGTTTGTCCTAAGCCATTACTCAAAAAATGAAAGCTGGACCAATATGAAAAATGAACTAGAATAGAAATTACTATCATCGTGTCGAATTAAACTGCGGTGAAAACTGCTATGTTTAGCATTTTATGGTAAAACTCGCATTCGAATGTAATTGTACCAAAAGAGTCCTCCTTGAGCAATGGTAATAAACTGGTTTAAGATTTTAGAATGTCGTATCAAATCTTTGTCCTTGCGCTTCCATTTCAAAATTATATGAAACAGCTAGCCCAAACCAAAGTACTCCTCATTCATGCTACACAACAGAACACACAAATTACACACGCCAACTAAAATGTCACGTGCAACACTCTTAGAGGCACCCTTTAAACTGCAGAATATAATCAGGAGACATTATTCGTCTGTTTTTCTAGATATGGCTAGCATTTGACCAAGTTCTGATGAAGAGCCTACAGTGAGAGTCGTCGGAGCACTAACGGCAACGTAAAGGAGAGACGTAAAAGCAGGACCATTTCTTGCTGTACGTCGCTCCCTCCATTTTGGGGCACACGCGCGTGAGATGGAAAAGTGGCATTCAGTATGAATTGAGTGTTTTTCGTGACCTGCAGCGTTGCGAATTTTAACAGGCATGATCCCGAGTGTCCAGTGCATCCATTACGCGTCAGCTCGAAATGCCCAAATCTAGTGAGGGGGCCTTCTAAGGTGTACACCGACAGGGGAGAAATTGATCCCACACGATTCGACGTGGCAATCTTCCCTTCCGAGGTATCAGCGGTCTGGTTATTTGCTCCTGCACTGCCTTTCCCAGCCACGACGAAACGAAAGAGACTCAAGAGAGTGGTGCTTGGACAGTGGACACTTGACTCACAATGTTGGAAAATAAAATGAGTCCGTAATATGCGAATCACGCGGGAAATGCATGCCTGTGTTCAAGCGTCGTTGCCATTGTGCTATCTTAGACAATATTTTTTTCTTGTTGTAAATACAGAACTCAGATGTCTTTGTTTTAAATTGATTAAATTTTTGTCGAAACTTATTGTGCCTATATTTATAATTTTGAAGGCCTAAAATGGTGTTTTACCTGCCGGTCTTTGGCGTCTAATACAGACCTTTTAGTGCTTGAAAATTCGGCCTCTATTGATACGAGAGTAAAAGCGCACGAGCGGGGGCAACGAACACTGCTAAAGCGGAGATAAAAAGAGCAGACCTATTTCTGTAGCACAGAGGGCGCATGAGATAACATCACCCCGTGTGCCTGGCCTGCCATATATTGCTACTTTAAGAGACGAATGCCCCACCCATCTTCAAAGAGCATGATAAGAGGGAGAGGTGGGCGGTTGTCTAGCTAGAGTAGCCCTTGTGAACTTCGACTTGAAGGGTACAGTCACAATCGCTGGCGCACGCACTACTTAGGCGAGCACCACCACGAACAGACTGAAAAAGGTCCTACTCTCCATGGAGCAGCCATACTCTGGGATGCACCGAGCCTTGAACTGCAAGGCGGCAACACCATTATGCCATTTCGGAGGTCCGTTCGTACATGCCATTTGTGTTGTATACGCATCAGCGTGCAAGAAGTGTTCCAAAGGTCTTTAGTCATCCAAGTCGCCGTACGGATCTTGTGCAGCACGTTTTGTGCAGAAGGCAAGTGCGCGGACCTTCAAAATGATCACATCGCTGCTAGCTCTCCTTGCGGATCACATCTTTTCTATGTCAAACAATACAATTTGTTGGTATTGCATGCATTCAAAACTAACAAATGGTATTCTTATGTGAAGTAAAACCAGGAGTTCTTTTCTACGCGATCTCGCGTAATTCAACAGAACGCTGGTTAAAGGTAATATCACCACCCCAGATGCTGAAGTTGAGAGCAAAGCAAGTTTACAAACAATCTCATGATGCCTCGAGATAGCTTGCACCAGCGACTGCACCCCCCCCCCCCCCCCCCCCCCCGTAAAAAAAGAAATGAAGCAATGACATAGATACAGTTTAACAGTTAATTATTGACCCTAAAAAGTGAGAGATGAATGTCTAACACGGTGTTGCGGCTTCACAGTAAGCCTTCTGACGCCAGGGCATATAGGGACAATCAGTGATGGGCCCGCTACACACAACTGCGTACTTAAAAACATAACTGCAGCTGCTCCAACCTAGAGGCATACATTTATTAATGAGATTGCATTTTCAAAAAGGTAAGAGAAAAATTCAAATTGGGACCCTAGCACTCACGAGTTTTAAAGAGCAGGGTCAAGAGGCATTTGTCGGAATGGCAATTACAAATACGGATGTGCTAGTGCAAAGAATTACGAAAAAGCTCTTCTTGATGAAGATTCATGGATAAATTATATTTGAAGAAAAGAGTCAATCCCACCGTTCAAGTGCTTTTCTATGGAAGCGAAGCACGGAAAATTCAACATTGTTCCTTATATTCATTCCTATGGTGTTCCCAGGTTTTGTTCCACTCAGCATCAGGAAAAGAGGGAACAAACAGCAGTGACTATACCGATTAAAATCAAGAAACAAGTGCTGGCACCATAATTTAACGCTAATCAATGCAGAAAAAGCTGTCTAACGCATCTTTAAAATGTGCACAATAGGTATGACATTCTGGTGACACGTGTGCAGTAGTGAAAATTGCTTCAATTTTATATGTGCAGTGCGACTCTTGAAATGAGCTATAAGCAGTGTTTATGAAATGGACTATGTCCACCGATGAATTGCTGCCACGCTACCAATTAGCCTTGGCGTCAAGAGCACATTTTGCCGTTAAGCAGAGTGCAAAATAGAAGCTGCATCAGCACCAAGCATTGGGACACGTGCAATTGCCGTTTTTTCAGCGGAATAATTCTTGGTACATGGTTGCGATTTTGGCGGCCTTAAGAACAAGCAGTACACGTTTTCCCGCGCCAACGATAGATGCCCCCAAACCCATTACTTTGGTGGTTTGGTGCGTTGATATCGGGATGGTGCAGTATACTTTATTTGATGCACATAGGCGCAGGTATGGAATCTGTATAATCATACATTGTGATATAAACTTTTAAAACAATTTGCTCTATTTCAGTGCATATGTTGGCTCGCCGGAACTTTGACACGATACTGCAAAGATGGCAGCTTCGCGGAAATAAGCCTTTTTAGTTTTTTTTTTCTTGAGTGTTTGCAGTTGGGTGCACACGTTACATCCAAGGACATTTGATTAGTGAGGAAATGTAGTGTCAGCGTAAACACAGCTTCAACATCTCCATACACAGGAAGCCTCTAGTCCACCTTGGTCCCATTGTTGAGCCTTCTTCAATAGAACTGAGCATGCTTCTTGGTGTGTCTACACACGGACACAGACAGAAGCCACATCAAACTATTCTCTATATTACACTACATTGACTATTGCCTTGTGGAAAACATCCCCATTGCATTAACAAAGTGAGTGGAAGTCAAAGACGACCTAGCACGCGAGCCGATGGGGGCAATGATGAGGAATTGTTCCTACTTGCAAAGCGTGGCACTCTCCTATATAGCCACCTACTCATTCTCCCGAATGCATGCAAAAAAGTCCCATTCCATGAGCAAAAGCCTACTGCTTATGACGGGAAAGCCAAGTTATTAAGGTGTCTCGCAGTGCTCTATATTCGATATATCATGTTGTGGCTACTTTTGTTTAATGTAGGCATAGTTTTTATTACGCATAAATGTCAAGGCATAGCAATATTAAAAATGGTTCAATATAATTGGTCATTCGATTTATCTGAGTTCGATAGTCAGGTTAAGCTATCCCAGTGAGTGTGGTCAATGATCAAAAAATTGTTACAAAGTCCAACCCGACTATATTGAAATCTGGTAAATCGAATCATTATATCGAACCATCTTCGTTCGAACACACTAATGTTTTAATCTCAATACACAAGAAAATCTATAGCTACATCAAACAAAAATAGCAGCAACACTCAATATATTGAATGTAACAGCAGCGTGAAACGCCCCAAGAGAGTTGATTTTCCCTCGTGCATTTGGGAAAGTGTGAGGCATGACTAAGCGGGTGCCACGCAAAGCAAGTTGAAACTGCCGCTATTCTATTCTTCCTCAGTACGCCTCAGATTCGTCATTTGTTTCTAAATTTTTTTAACGCAAAGCAAAGCTGGCAATAATACAGTGAAATGTAGGGAAAAGATGCCTTATGTCGCCACTGCATGCAGCATCCCAAAAACCCTGCAGAGTATGATAGTGGAAAAGAAGGCCAACATTAGCACCAAGGCAGACTAGACTTCCAGTGCCTGAGGAGTAAGCACAGCTGCGTATGAAGACTTTGAGGCACTATTTACATTGATTCTGTTGAGTACATCCCACCCCTGCATCTCCAACTACGAAACACCGTAAAAAATACAACATTGAAAAAAAAAGGGGAGGGGGGGGGGGGCACATTGCCGTGAAGATGTGGTTGTTACATCATTGTCAAGCAGTGCCGTGAAGCAACTTGATTTGTGGGGTTTAATGTCCCAAAACCACCATATGATTATGAGAGACGCCGTAGTGTAGGGCTCCGGAAATTTTGACCGCCTGGGGTTCTTTAACGTGCACCCAAATCTGAGCACACGGGCCTACAATATTTCCGCCTCCATCGGAAATGCAGCCGCCGCAGCCGGGAATCGAACCCGCGACCTGCGGGTCAGCAGCCGAGTACCTTAGCCACTAGACCACCGCGGCGGGGCGCCGTGAAGCAACTTGCGCATCAAGAATTCCAGTAAAAGCTGTCTATTGAATTATACATTTAACATATCCCTCCCTCTTTTTTTTGTGTGTACACATGGTCAATATATGAACATTTGCAGATTTTGCAATTTTTCAGATTTAACTGTACAAAACAAAGCTGCCCTGGCCAATGGCAGGCTTTTCCTAATTCAATAAACACACATAACTGCAATACAAAAACATTTATTTCAACTTGAAGTAAAACCACAACATCGAACTAAAGTCATGACAAGTGTGCACATACAAAGAGCGAATGAAGCGTAAAAAGAGGCACAAAACTTTGTAATGTTAATGAATCGACCTCTAAAGATGAGTCATTATTTTGTGGTGTATTCACAAGAGAATAAAAGGGACAGAATGAGCAATATTTGTCCAAATGTATGTACAGTGATATTGGGCAGTTTAATTTAATGCTACACATTTGATGTGCTGCACAATGGCCAACAGAAATAGCAGACAAAACTTCACTCCTCACACAGTGACACGTGCAAGAGCTATTTTACAGGCCAGAAGAAAGTGCAGCCCAGCAAGTCACAGCATGAACACGTTTGTTCTACATTGGTAGAATATATAGAACAAATGTGTTCACCATAGTCAGCACTGTAGTTTAATCACAGCATTCAAAAGAAAGCTTAAAATGAATAACACGCATATACTCTGAAAAAACTAGTTCTTATTCTGTTCATGACCACTGCTTGGAGGTTGGCTGATGATCTCTTGACACACGAACAGGGCTCCACCCTACAACAATTAAAACAAATACTCATGTTAAAAAAATACTTCTTGGTATAGTAGTTTACGCCTCTAAGCTTGTGAGATTTTTCAAATACACATGCACACATCGAACTGTTCAATACTCCTAAGATATTTATTCTACAAATGTGAAAGAGTGAACAACAAATTTGAAAAATGAGTTTTTTTTTCCTCTTGCTATATAAATACCATTGATCAGATGGCAACTAACTTTCTCCATGACCATCGAAATTGAGCTCCGAAATTTAATTCTAAAGTTTAAAAAAAATATTGAGCAATAACAATGAAAAATGCCCCACAGATGGTCAAACTCACAAGGTCACATTCACGACATTTTGGTGTCACTGTACTTGCACAGACTACAGGCAAGAAGGGAGGTATAAAACCACAAATGCTTTTTTTGTTTATACCGAACTGCTGCCCTTCAGCAGTTTCCCATGATTATGGCAACTATAATCAGTTTTCTTTCGAAACTAGCCGTCTAATGCATTCATGCTTCTGACATTCTGTAAAAGCATGGCCAATAAAAACAATTGAAGTCAACAAGGCTGCATTGATGACTGACCAGAGGGCATCAACCCAATGATGCTGGTGCAAAGCAATACCAAATCTAGAAGTGCAAGACTCGTGTAAGCGTGGCATTTAAAAATCAGAGTGGAAATGTTATGTGTGCATGCAGTCAACAAAAATGATTTTTCAAGAGTGAAGCTGTCAAATGCTCGCTGTAATTTTTCTGTCAGAAAGAGAAATGATCATCATCACGAATTGTCATGCTTTATCTACATCTTTTGCTTTGCTTTCAAAACATGTACACAGATTTTTCTGGCGTGGCCTGTAGTAACCCTGATGGGCGAGAAAAGGAGCGCAAAGAGAGGTAGAAAGAAACATTTTTGCTGAAAAAATATTCTTCATGGGGTGGAATTATAACCCACGTAACCTCGACCAGTAGGCACGTGTCCTAACCACTGGGCTATACAGTGCACTCTCAGTAAATAGAAATTTGCAAAACAGAACTGCTGCTTAAACAGAACAACTGCTTCTAGCACAACTGGTGTTGTATCATACAGGCATGCTAGCATAGCATAGCCTCATATAGTGTAGCAAGGCGGTGAAAAAGGAAAGCGAGTACGAGAATCAGGACAAGGAGGAGGGTAAAGAGTGAAGCATATCATAGAATGAACATAAAAGGGAGAATAGAAAGGAAAAGAAGGGAACAGTGAGGGATAGCGAGAAAAGAATAGAAAGCAGGCCCTCCTCCTTAGCTTTCAGCGTTTTCGTTGAGACGAGAGAATGCGATTTCAGCATGCGACAAATCGTAACTCCGCTCGTGGGGAAATAAGCTTTTTTAGTGAATCCATTCCATGGTTACTTAAGGGAGGACACGGGTCTTAGAAGAATGAAAATCGCAAAAAAGTCGACTTTTTGAAGCTGACATTTTCGAAATCTGTACCTATTTATGCGCTTATCTGAGAAGTTTCTAGCTTCTCGCGTCATTATTTCTGGTGCCAAATCAATTTATAACACCCCTGTGAGATGAATGTGAGCGCGAATAGACACTAAAATCGCGCTTTTGCTGCGCCAAACCGTTGCCGGTACACACAGAGCTATCGGGGTTATCTTGGTCTCGTTTGGAAGAATCGTTCTTTGTCCTCAATTTCCGATAACCGTTAGTTTGTCTTTCTCATTCGTTTTTCAGCAAAAATGCGTCGTCGAGAAGCACTAGCTTGTGATTTTATTGGCTGCTTGGGGCACGAGACAAAACTTAGGCATCCGATTGGCCAAGTGGCATTTCCAGCGTCCGGCATCTGCTTCACTACCGTGACGCGCACGGACATGCGCCATTTTGTCATGGTGCTGTCGACTGCCTGCTACAGTAAAGAAGTTCCGTGCCACACTAATTCGCAAAGCGGGTGCGGCGATAGTTCGTTCACCGTGAACACCAGAAAAAGCCCCGCTATGGCTCAGGACGAGGATAGCGAACTCGCGGCGATCAATGGCAGTCGCCGCGTCACCAGTGTAGACCTAGCTCACGTACGAGCCAGTCGGTTGTCGATGAGGTCACTAAAAGCGGCCATGTTTTGCAGCCTCATCAGTTTAGAGGACAGCAAACGAAAAGCAGAAGTGAAGCTACGAGAGGTATCAATCTTTGCAGCAAAGGAACGGAAGCGCAGTCTTATCGCTAAACGCGCCGATGCCGCGGTCCCCCGCGCCTGACGAGACGACCTCGCTTGTGCGTGAACTGCATGACGGGGTCAACAGAGTGGAGTACGCCGCGCGTCAACGAACAACAAAAATGAATCTGTTCGCGGTGAATGGGCTCTCCGCCCGCCCAACGGAAGCTACTGGCAACAGGCATACTGCTTTTAACAACGTGCTCGCAACGATGTCGCGGTCTCCACTCGAAAATGCGACAGTCTTGCGTGAAAAGAATTCAAACACGATTGGCACTTATGTAGCCTCCAAAGCAAATGCACAAATTCGGTTTGCGACATTTGCCTGTAACTCATTCTGGACAAGCCGAAAAAAATCGCCGTGTCATTCGGTGGATCGCGGATGACGCGTGCCCATTCCTCGCACATTGACATCAGTACCGTCACCGGCCTCGTCAGCAGATGAGCTCATGGTGACAACTTGCAGCAGGACTTTAAGAAACGACATGCTCATGCAAACAATCAGTTCGATTACATGCCCGGTGCATATTAACTGACTAAAAGTATTTTTCCCATAATTTTTTTGTCTCGAAATGGCAAAATAAAGTTTTAACAGCATTTTTCTCGAAACACAGATCGACTTTCCCGAAACACTTTCCTTGTTCTGTAAATGTGAACCTAGGAAAGCTAGAGCTGTAATTACTTTTGCACAATGTAGCTACATGTGCATAAAAAACATCGCTGAGAGCCAATTTGTAATGTGGGGCTCCAATTTTTTTTTATGTTATAAATTTTTTTTGTTTTTGGTTACATGCAATCAGATTCATTGCACTGTAATTCGAAAAGTACTTGTTCAATTTTCAATCGTCTTGCAGCGCTGCACTCCTTAGGCTTTCTAGTATCCATATATATGTTAATGACTATGTAAGTTTGAGTACATACATTTTTACAGTTCAATATGTTAGAATTCTCTGTTTTCTTGATTTTCTTAAAATGGCAATTTTGTACACCCTGCATGACAATTCCTGCAATATATTGGAAACTATTACAGATAGATGAATAATTGATTCTTTTTGCAGCTTGAAGCTATATGTTTGGAGCACACAGCATAGGAAGCAGATTTTAATTTCTCCTGAAGCAAGTTTTTAAAATTAAGTCTTTTGTGTGACCCCACCATGACCACATTCAGAGCTATGAAGTTTAGTGTAGTGTAAGAAATAATGACCCAATCAAAAAAGTGCTTCCTATGTTGTATGTCTCATGCTTTATACTGTTAATTCCCATGTCATTTGTAAACTTTTGACTGATTGTTATTTTTCTATTGTGGTAAGAACAATAACGATCGTTATAGTGATTGAACAATAGAGATGGTTATATTGATTATTTATTGAACTAATCAAGCTACAGAAAAAATAACTACATTTTTAGAGTCAGGAGAACAAACTAAGTAAGGATGCCAACTCCCATCATATTCGGTTAAAGATGGATGAGATCCCATAGACCCCATGTTCCCCTTTAAAAAAAGCATTTCATCAACAAAGATATGGCAATATTGAAAAAAGTGCCCACTTCTCCTAATTTCAAGTCTTAACACTTTTTAAAGACGATAGTCTTTCTTGGGGACCTTCGACGAAAAAATTTTGGTCTGTCTGTCTGTACAATTGTCTGTTCGTCCGCCCTAACGATGCCTCAAACTGCACCAAACTGCCAACCCCACTCGCAGTGCCCACCAATATTGCTCAAGGTTTAGCGTTCATAGTTGTGCGATTGTCAGTTAAAAAGCAATTATTGCACATATCTCACGCACCATAACAACACTTTGAAGTTTTGTGTGTCTGCCTTTATACTAGAAGAGGCACACACAAGTAATTCTAAGAAATGTAGCGTTTATCGCGCTGCACTGGCAGTGCAACCCGATGCTCAAAAAGGTGTTTCCAACGCTTTGCTACGACGTCAAGGTGGTGGTACCTGCCTGTCGCTTTGCGTTCTACACTTTATCACCTTCGAGACTGGCGCGCATCTGTCTCCGCGGGCAGCATCATGACAAAATGTCGCCTTCGTTTTCAAAGATAACTGCCATATGGCGCTTGTGTCTAACGTGCCTCGATGCACTCGTGCGTCTCCGCTACACGCTCGAGGCACTCTAACGCAGCGCCTCCAGAATACCTTTCACCGATTTTCATGCTCAGAACATCAAAAAGTTTTGTTCACTCTTTCCAGACGCAAGACTATTGTCTTTCGACTAAATTTGTGGTGTATCATGCAGAATTGGAACCAATTTTTTTTTTTTCAATAAAAATTTTACTTGAAAGTCAGCACTGCACTATGCTCACTTCTAGTCTATGCCTGGGTTGATTGATATGTGGGGTCCCAAAATGTCCCAAAACCACCATATGATTATGAGAGACGCCGTAGTGAAAGGCTCCGGAAATTTCGACCAGCTGGGGTTCTTTTCCGTGCACCCAAATTTGAGCACATGGGCCTACAACATTTCCGTCTCTATCGGAAATGCAGCTGCCGCAGCGGGGATTCGATCCCGCGACCTGCGGGTCAGCAGGCGAGTACCTTGGCCACTAAACCACCACGGCGGGGCTCTATGCCTGGGTGTTTCGCACTGTAAGCCACAATGAATCTTCACCAACTAGCACAGTTTTCCATCTTGAGTAATCTGGGTGTTTTGCACTGTAAGCCACAATGAATCTTCACCAACTAGCACAGTTTTCCATCTTGAGTAATAACTTGCCAGGCATGGGAGCAAATGTCCTTGACCGTCGAAGCGGCACAATATTAAGTTATGGCACCACAAGTGCTCAAAGTACGCAGGATGCAGAGCACATACAGCAGTGTGGCAGCACATGGTGGACACTTTGAAAAGGTGAGACGAGCTATTAGATGAACAACTTTTTCCTCTGTATGCCCTTCGTTTACCTACTTCGTGCCCGTCCTCCTCAATGGCCTCATCGCTCACTCACCAGTGATGCACCCAGTGCATCTCCTTTCAGAAGCGCACTCGCTACCAACGTTTCTAGAACTAAGTAAGTTGCAAAACTGAGCGATGTTGCACGGCGCCGCCGCTGCCAGCGACAAATGTGGCGCTGCTGTCCCATCCGGATTCACTCACTGCATGCTCGCTCATGTCACTCCCGTAACCTCCGTTGGCTCTGCATGTTGCAGTGCGTCTTTATCCGTGGAGGCTTCTTTCTGCGTGAACAGTTTTATGCTTCAGCGCGCCTGTTCTGCTTTGTATGTGTTACGTGTTTTCATCATGCCCAGATGTTGCGTTCTCGGCTGTAGAGTAGCTACAGGAAATGAGAGACGCCACATTTCTTTTGTACCCACGTGTACCCGAGCAGCGAGAGGTATGGGACCACGCTATTTCTCGTGCGGATAAGAAACTGTCCAGCACCTCACGTGTGTGTGATATGCTCTTTCGTGAGAAGGACATCTTGAAGACTATCACTCACGTGATATGGTAAGAAGGTACAAATCGCAAGAGGAAAGTGGGACCTCGTCGAAGGATGCGTTCCACGAATATTCCCGAATTTGCCCGCTTACCTTGCCCGCTTACTTTTGTTGCGGGGCCCGCGACGAAGAAGCGAAAGCTGCCCGATAGGAGTGGGGTCTTTTCCAGAATATCATCGGCGAAAAAGAATAGACTGTCTCCGAGCACCGAGCTCGAAGACAGTGAAATAAGTCCCGACATGCCGTCAACTAGTGGCGTCATTTCGCTTAAATACATAGAAAACGTTTCTTTGCATGCTGGCGGAAAGTTGAGGATGGCGAGACAAGATGTCTTGTGGTGTTTCTAGGGCTCAAAGAAAAAAAAAAAGCACTATTTGTGCAGAAATGCGTTTTCGTCGCAGAAGACATGAGTCACCATTAGCAGCCGTCACAATCGCTTAACCAAGTCGCCTGGCAATGCAGATACCATCAACCTATGGGCCGAACTTCTGGAACACAAAGAAAAGCTGCAAGTGTGGTCATGTTGTCCCAATGCGTCAACAGGCAGACTCGTGAGTAATGACTACGAAGTGCTCACCGATACCCCAAAGTGTGGTCTCTGCTCGAAGCTTTGGCTGCAGCTGTGTTAAAAGGTTTCATTAGAGGAACTCCAGAAGAAGCAGAGACAAGACATGCTCAAGAAAATGGCCACACGCGTTGCTTTTCGACAGTCTAAGTTGCTAAAGAATGTGACTGACGTGAAAAAAAAAAAAAAAAAAAGCTGTTTACATAACCAGACAAAAGCCACGAGATTGCGCCACATAGTTGTAATTTATCTTCAAGCACGAAAAAAACAGCCACAAAAAAAAAAAAGGATGCCAGACATTGTAATTGGGTTTTTCGCGTCTAAAAATCTATTGTGAACGTACACTAACTAGCAACTAACCTACAACTCGTATGCGATGCTATATATATCAAGCATTGTTTATTGTGGGCAGTTCAGAAAAACCATAATCATACACTATTTGCCTTACACCGCTTAATATTACGCAGTATTAAGTTTCTGCGGCAGCACAACAAATCTCTATAAATATACTGTTGGCAAAGCTCGTGCAGAACGGCCGCCACGGCGTCTTGCCACAACGACTACGCGTTTTCGTCAGCTAGCGGAAGCTTGTTGCGCCGCCAGCGCCACCAAACCGGAAGCTGTCCCGGCACCGTGTGACGAGTAGTCTGACGCGGGGAGTTTTGCAACTTACCTAGTCTAGAAACGTTGCTCGCTACTGCATATGCCACAAGATCTTCTGGTGACTGCATTATAACCGGTCTTTCATTTTGAGATACTGCACAATAAGCGCTATGCGTATACGTGGGGTTCTATGTGAGGGTGAGCTAGAGTTGAAAAAGACTGCATTGTGACCTGTCGTGCACTATAAGCAGGTTTACTATAGATGGTCTGTACTATATACAAAACGTGTTCAATTTACAGACTTGGCCTCCTATAGAATAGGGTTGCTTTGTTTATGGGGCTTAACGATCCAAAGGGACGCACCACCATATCTCAAACAAGCCTAGACTAATTTTGTCCTTCACTAGACAGTTGAGCACAGCGGTGCTGCCAGACTGAAAATGATACAGAGCTGCTTACGAATCGATGCAAATTATTGTTGATATGCAGAGACTTCTGTCTGGAGACAGCAATAGCATCAACTTTCTGGAGTGAATGGACATTCTTGAATATAGGGGTCTTGCTATAAAAGACGCCACAGCGAAGGGTTTCAAATAACATTGACCACCAGAGGTTCTTTATCGTGCTCTAGTAGCACAGGAAAAAGCCTTTTGCATTTCGTATCCATGAAAATGCAAAGCCTGCAGCCGGGATTGAACTAGCGAATTCCAGGCCAGCATCTGAAAACAGTAGTGTTATTTCTTTGCGTTATTAACGGATCACTTTGCAAAATCTCACCTTCGCTTTTTCCAGCTCAACATTTTTCCTAGTCTCACTTCTTGTGTTTCTTAGGCTGATCAGAGCCTTTGTGATCAGAGTCACGCCGCCGTTTAGCACTGCCACCATTCTTCTGAGGGCTTGCCATGCCCTTCTTGGATGGACCTCTGGAATCTTGAGCAGGACGTTTGCGGTCCAGTGCTTTTCCACCCTTGCGCTTGGTGTATTCGTCCTCAAACTCATTGCGGTTTCGGTCAGCTGCAAGCAAATTCACATTTCATTAGCATAAGTCAAGTGTTAACATATGTGGGAGCTGAAATTGCAGTGCACATAGCGGCAAGCGAACAAAGCAAGGATATTACTGAACAATTTTTTCTTCTATATACTCCGAGAGAAAAAAAAGAGTGGTAAAACACACAACTGGGTGTGCTAATTTAAAGCATAAGCAGGCGATTTGACATTGCTTTATGGTGTTAAGCACTCGATCTGCTCGGGTATCGGTTGGGAAATGTTTAACATCAAAGAAGTACCAGTGAAACAACCGCAAAAACTGGAATATAGGTCGAACAAAAAAAAAAACACGCAATAAAATGTTGACTTTACACTCGTACACCGGTCATTGGCAGAAAAAAAATGTGGAAGCCTCGCAACAATGGTCGGCAGCTGAAGTCAAAAGCCTCCATTGCCATCGTGAGCATCAACAGCGGCGCCATTGGTCAAAACTAGGCAAGGCCTTGTTCTAGCAACGCCATTTTTGCTTCAGTTATCTGTCTCACTCTGCCAGTTTTTTTTTTATACTTCCTTCATAAATTAGTGATAGTCGACAGCAGTTTACGATAGGCTTAAAGAAAAAAAGTTATCGAGTATGCCGAAGCGTACGGCAGCCTGGCGGCACAACAGGAATTCGGTGCATCGGACAAAAGCGTCCGATAGTGGAGGAGCCAAACAAAAACAGCGCATCACATCCTGCAGGGGAAAAAAAAAAAATTTATGGACAGACTGCAGTGCACCTCGAACTGGAAATGCTACTTGCCGTATAAGCCCGCCCGGGAGATGCGTGGAAGGCCGCTACCCGTAACAGAGAAGTGCATCCCTGTGAAAGCTATCAAAATAGTGCGAGACTCTGGCCGAAACTGGATGATGGGATCCACAAACACTTGTGAACACTTGTGAACTTGTGGCCTGCAAACATAACTTTTGCAGGCCACAAGTTCCACCTTATGTATACTACTACCCTGCAGAATACAGATGCTACATTCACCAACCTCGCAAACAAGTTTGCACAATCTGCCTTGCATTGGGCAGACGTATGTCCAACTCCGACAAAACGCCGATGCCAAGCATGCGGAGTTGAGACACTAGCGCCGGAGCACAACCGCATGAGTTATTTCCGCGCCATGGATGCCGGCAAGAAACACTACTTTCGTTCACGCAAGTTCATTACGCGGCACCAGTACGAGGGAAGGCACCCCAAACGCAAGCAGTGAGCGCCGGTGAGAGGTCCGCCTGCTGCTAGGCTTAGCCGCGGCAGCAGCGACGCACCCGATTTGGATTGTTCGAGCTTTATTCCTACCGTCGATGACTTCATCAGCGCTTCAGAGGGAAAGATAAAGATGTTAGACGACTAAAGCAAGTGTCAGGACGAACACGGAAGCACATTTATTTGTGAGACCGCTGCGATGCAGAATCTCGTCAGTGGCGTAGTATGCTCCAACTGCGGGCGGTGCAAGCTGCCTATTTGAGTAATGGCAAGTAGACGATAAGAACTGGCATCGCTTTCGGAATTTTAGAGCCGAAATGACGCATGTGCTGCAACTGTTGTTTCGTCCACGTATGCGTCAAGCCGCGTGTATCCATCATGCAGTGGAAGAGAGGAGACGTCGTCCGCAAGCGGCAGTGCACGGGACAGCTTCATTGCGAGCGTGAAGTCTTTGGTCGCACCGCGTGCAATCGGCGTCGGACACGAGAAGCTTGTGCGGGTTTTGTGCAATCATTGGTGTTAAAAAACCAGTGCGTCACAAGAACTGCCATTCGCAAAAAAAAAAAAAAAAAGTGCATACCGCCGCCGAAACCACGAATGAGCCTGAGAGCAACGGCCCATAGCCGCAGTACCGAAAAAAAAAAAAAGAAAATGCGGTCGGAAGGAGACAGCTTGCAGAGACTAAGGGTCCAATATATAGTGCTAGATTATTCTAAAACGGTCAACTTTTTCAAGATAGCTTTGCTGACATTCTCTGTGAATTTTATTCAGGTTGGTTGAAGAGTAAAGTATTAAACATGTTTTTGAACTTTCAAACCGCTTTTTCTCAGTTCCTGATTTTTCGGCGTTTTTAGAGATTGTGCACTATAATTTGTACGCTTTACGTAGTCGGATTGCAATGAAACTTGGCATACTTAATGTTTAACATGTCCTGAATTCAAATAAACAACTTTCAGAGGTCTCCAAAGCATATTCAGCTGGATAATTTCAGAAGCTTCTTTCTTGAGTATGGTAAAACTCAAATTCAGCATTAGAATTTTTTTTCTAGGCCAGCACACAACGCACAAATGTTACACAATGTTTCTTTGCTTTATTGAATTCTGCAATTCATTAGGAGCAACATTGGCTATGTTTTAGAGCTTTCTTGTGCTTACTATTGTTGCCTAAGCTTGCACAAGAATGCATTGTTTTTACAAATGCATGGCCTGCAAAAAAGAAGCAGATTTGAAAAAGAGGAGCTCGAACTCTATAACTGGTGAAAGTTTCACTGAGCTCTCACAAATATTTGAAGAAAAAGTTTTTCGAGGGGCATCTCCCCTTAAGCAGCATTCACTGCACAAGTTTGAGCCAAGCCAAGAAATTTTCTAACCGCTACACCTACCCTCCCTTTTTCTTCTTTCAGGGGGGTGGGGGGTGGTGCCGTTTCGGTTCCCTTGCAAGGCGCGTTAGATCAGGTAAAGTAATAACAGCGCATGCCCGTTGACGGAACTGGACATCTATCGCCAGGACTGTGGCCGGGACGACGCAACTTCAAGGCAAATAAAATGTTTTATATGCCACTGCTAAGGCAATCAACGTGGTTGCTGGCAACGCTGATGTTCGCAGCATGTCGAGCTTGTTCGCGTGAAAAAGATGCAGCATGCGCGTCCAGCTTTAGTTCTTAACAAGCCATAGCCGCGTTTTCAGGTTACGAAATTTACTGCAAAGTGTTGGTGGCTACAGCAACGCATTTTTGTTCCCGCCAATAGGCATCCACTGCGGTCAGCGGACCAATGAGGGTGCAGTGTCGTTACTTTATTTAGTCGATCCTGTCTTGCGAGAGTAGGGCGGGTGCCTAAAATATTTTAGGTACCGTAAATGCCCGCGTATAATACAAGGATTTTTTCCGAATATCAGCGTTCCAAATTTCCACTTCATACTATGTGCGGATACGAACGAAAACTTGCTCGAAAAACGAAATTGTGCTTAAAGTTTCGGTTTCGTAACTGCCGCTTGGCTATGGCTTCGTTTTGTCTACGAGTGGCTACGGTATTGCTTTTTATCTTTGCGTCCTCGCGTGTCAAAAGTGAGCGCTAGCGCCATTTCTCTCTTTGTTGAGTTTTTTGGGCGCTCGGACAGCGGATGGGTGGACGTGTGAACCTCGAATAGGTGTTCTGTGACCTCGCTGTGTTCTGTGCCTCACTTCGCAAAGGTGCAACATGCCAGGGGACCGAAACCAGTTCTCGGCTGCATTCAAAAGAAAGGTCATCGCAGCTGCCGAGGAAATCTGCAACAGTGTGGGCGGAAGACAGTTCGGAGTCATTGAGGAAAGTGTCCGTGGATGGCAACGACAGAAAGAAGCGCTTTTCGCGTACAGTGGAAAGCGAATAAGCTTTCGCGGTCCAAAGAAAAGGGCCTTTCCAGAGGTTGAACTCGCACTGACAGAGTTTGTTCGACAGCAGCGGGCGGCGCACTTGCCAGTCAACATGGAGCTGATGCAGATGAAAGCAAGGGAGCTGGCGAGTGAAAGGGGGATGTTGAGCTCGGACTTCAAAGACAGCATGCACTGGATCTACAGTTACATGTGCCGCGCCGGATTTTCCCTGCGCCGGTGAACCTCCATTTCTCAGAAGCTCCCCGAAGCCTTTGAAGAGGTTCTCGTCTTATTTCAACGCCATGTGATTACATTACGCCGCTCGCAGAACTTCCAGCTGGGAAAAATCGGCAACGCCGATCAAACGCCAGTTTACCTGGACATGCCATCGCCCCTTACAGTTCATGAGAAAGGTTCGAAGCAGGTTAGTGTCCATACCACTGGCAATGAAAAAACGCGTGTCACAGTGATGTTATCGTGCATGGCGGACGGCCACAAGCTCCCACCTTATGTCGTCTTCAAGCGCAAGACAATCCCGAAAGGGGAGGAGCTGCCGAAGAATGTCATCGTGAGATGTCACGATAAAGGCTGGATGAATGAAGACCTTGTCCTAGACTGGGTAAAGTCCGTGTGGTGCAGATGGCCTGGTGCCCTACTATCTTTTCCTTCCATTCTGGTGCTGGACGCGTTTTGCTGCCATTTGGCCGACTCAGTGAAGAGGCTCTTGCGCGACTGCAGCACGGAACTGGTCGTGATCTTGGGAGGGATGACCTCTCAACTGCAACCTGTTGTCGTTTGTGTATATAAGCCGTTCAAGGATGCGGTTAAGCGTTGCTACACGGAGTGGATGTACTCAGGTGAGCCTGCAGCGACGCCGACCGGGCGGCTGAAACGGGCATCGCCGGCCATGCTACGCAAATGGATCGTGGATGCTTGGGCAAGCATACCAGAAGACCTTGTGCGTCGTTCCTTCAGTGCGGCATCTCTAATGCCCTCGATGGCACAGAAGACGAGCGCCTATTTGTGGATGTGTGCTCAATATATGTGTTTCTGGTTACCTTTCCTACGTCGTTTAATACGCAGGTAAATTTTTTTTTTTTTTTTCATTTCGCACCTTTAAAATTTGGCCTCGTATTATGTTCGGGTTCGTATTATACGCGAGTATTTACGGTATATTGACTGTTGGCACAAACTGCGGGTGGCCGATGTGGCCTGCATTTCTTGCCAAAACTAGCGCACCCGAGAACACTGAAACTGGCTGGTCATTTTGGCGCAGTGTTGTGCAATTTAAGCAAATTTCACGGTTTTGGCACAGCTGTTGGACCTGTGCTTGTAGCAATACAGAAGTAAATCTGCAACTCTTTATAGTGTATTATTTATTATTATTCAGGGGTGGAAATAGACTTTAGAGTTTGGGAGCAGCTC